TGGGCGTCGCCAGAGCGTCTTGGGCAGCCCGGCAGGCCCTGAGCGGCTCCCGCGGCACCGACTCCCAGACAGCCGAATCGACTCTCACGGAGCTCAGAGGTTCATGGACCTCCCTTCTCCAGACCCCGGCGAAGAGAGCAGAGCAAACGGCTTGAGCCGGGGGTGACTGCAGGGGAGCCCCAGGTATGGCCCAGGTGGCAGGCTATGCGGGGCAGCAGAGCCAGTCTGGGGTGCAGCAGGGTCCCTCTCTCGTCACTGCAGGCCGGCGAGGCGGGCAGGTGGGCGCTTTAACCCCGTCCTCTGGCTGCTGAGCAGCCCTTCTTCAGAGCGCACTGTGATGGCATCTTCTAGGGAAGAGGAAAGAGGGGGAGCCTCTCTACTCCACCGATGGCCTGGGGGAGCTCCGTGGCCACAAGGGGCCTCCAGTGTCCAACCTCGGCCCCTTCCACCCAGGCCTCAGGAGGCTAGTACATCTGAGAGACACGGAGCCCCAGAGAGGCGAGGCCAGCAGGGCAGTGTCACCCTCAGGGCTCGGGCTCGGGCTCGGGGCCTTCTGCATGCTCCCAGCTGTTCCCCACGGCCCCACCCGGGAAGTCCCAGTGCACCTCGTGCGCCGCGTTCTGCATTCCTCTGGTGGGTGCAATGGCTGAGCACTCCCAGTCCTCCCCAGGATGTCACGTGATGGCCTACTCAGCATCTGTCCTGTCCCCACTGGCTGTCACCAACAAGGCCAGATACGAGATGCAACTCGGGGCCTGGCACGGCAGCTGCCCCCCAGGACAGGGCAGGGACGGCACTTTTTAAGATGTGGGTGTCCTGAGTCGCCCTGTGATAGCGATCCTTTACTCTTATCTCCGCACTCCCTGGAAGGGGTGAATCTAGTGTGTAATGGCACCCACTGTCCCCGGTGACAGAACAGGGGCGCGGGGATGGCCGCCCTTCCTGAGCAGGGCTCGCCTGCCAGGGGTTTCCGAGCAGTTCTTTCTGTGCAGCGTCCTCTGGGTTCTGTCCCTAGCCTGGCTCTCTCTCTCTCTTTTTTTAAAAACTTTATTTAGTTATTCATCTTAAATTTGACCAGAGAGGGATAGGGAGACAGAGTGTGAGAAAGCAAGCTGCCAGGTCTGGGACTCAAACCATGGTCAGCCACGTAGGAGTCCAGCCCCTTACCCAGCATGCCACCTGTTGGCCCCTAGCCTGGCTCTCTTGTCACTGGTTAATTCACCACAGTCTGAACTGAGGAAACCCCATGGCTGGCTGGACGCCCACTCTAGGAGTTTCCCACCCCAGGGCATGTGTATGCACACGTGTGTGCCTTGTGGACACACATGTGTGCCTTGTGTACGCACCAGTGTGTGGGGGAGACGGGAGAAAACCTGGAGTGTGGGGTGGGGGGACTGCAGAGACCTCTTGGGAGGGCGGGTGGGACGTGCACTGAAACAGCTCCCCAGGCCTTCTGGTGTGGAGGCCCACGCTGTGCCACTGTCCCTCACCAGCCACTCCGAGACCAGGCCACACCCCTGCCTCCCCTAGAACTCCTGCAGGGGAGGAGCCCTCCTGGAAGGGCTCTCCCGCACCCACCCAGGCACTCAGATCTAACGCCGGGCTCCCGTTTTTCCACTTTTAGCCGGACCCCTGCCTGGAGTCCAGCCCAGCACCCAGGCCACCACAGTGCCCAGCTGTGCCACGCTCTAAGCTCCGCTCCCTCCAAACCTTCCAGGGAGCCTCCTGGAGAGGAACCCGCTGCCTGGCCGGCTCCACCCTGAGCCTCACCCACCTCCTGCTCCCCGCTGGGCCCCCTTCAGGGCTCTGTGCCCTCGTCTGTGCCCTGGGGATCCTGGGCCTCTTCAAGTCTCCCCCCGCCTCAGCTGGGCTCGATGGCTGACAGTGTGCCCGTTTTCCAGAACAGCCCAAATCGTGAGCCCTGGGCTCAGCGGCTGCAGGTGTTCGGCAGAGCGGGAGGAGAGCTGCTGCTGGGGCTAGCTTTGTGGCCTGCCTCTCCCTGCTGAGTCCTACTGCCGTAAAAGTGGGCACTTCCGTTTCGTGATGTTTACGAGCACGTTTACAAGCACCGGCCACTTGTCACTGTGACTCCAGATGCACCCGGCCTGCACCCCTGCTGCAGAGCCGCTGCCTGAGCAGGCCAGGACGAGCTAATTAGCCTGGGCCAGTGTGAGCGGGAGGGGCGCAGAAGCAGGGGCGCCCAGGCACCTCCCGGAGGCGGTGCTCTGGCTGGGCCCTCGTCCTGCCCCGTCCCTCCTCACAGATGAGCCTCGAACCCGAGGACAGGGCTGGGAGATAGGCCTGCCGTGAGCAGCTTTCCGCTGGGGGCAGAGCTCAGCTCCCAAGGGCAGTGGGAGTGCTCTCTGCCACCTCCAGTGATGCAACCCCAGCCCTCCTCTGGTGACACCCACCTGTGTCTGGCCAGCGACCCGTCCCCTCCCCCTGAAATAACAGGAATAAGAGGGCTATGGGTGGCCCCCCCCGGGACATTAACAACCACCAGCCGGCTCCCGGCTCCCGGCCGAGGCTTTGGCTCTGCAAACCCCAGAGAGCGCTCACAGGTGGAGGGTGAGCCCCACCAAGAGCGTGTGCTCAGCCCCTTCCAGTCCTCAGGCACCCCTTACCACCCCCAACCCATACATGGTGGGCGCAGAGCCTGGCAACGGCTGGGGACCGCCATCGTCCATCGCAGGAGAGCCCTCTGCACCCCAACCCCGCCGAGCGGCGGGGCCTCCTGGTCTCAGCAGGTCCCCACGTACAGCTGCTAGTGGCAGGCTGCGTCTCCACGAGCGCCCGGGCTGGGCCGGAAAGTGGCCCCGATTTTCAGGAAAAAGGTGGCCAGCTGGAATCTGGGGCAGCAGCCCGAGGACACGGCCTCCTCCGTCCCACAGGAGCGTGTGCCCCGGTTCTCCGGAATTCGGATGTCACGCTGGCAGATCCGCGGGGCCTGGATCTTCGATTTCTTCTCAGGAAATGTCACTCATTTTCAGCAGAGGGACCGCCGTGAGCGGAATGGAATGTGTTCTGGGGCACACGGACCAGGAGAAGACAATGCGGGCCTACAGCACAGGCAAGGCAGTCCAGAGTGCAGTCACCGTCCAGGGACTGCGACAGCACGGACGCAGCGCCCGGCAGACGCGGCCCCTTGCTGAGAGCCCAGTGGGGTGGTGGTGCCTTCCTGAAACTGTTTATCAAAAATATTTTTTATAGTACAAAGACTATAAAAAAAGGCAAGCGAAAGCCCTTGGTAAAACATACCAAGCAAAAGCCGCCGGGACCGTAGAGCTCTGCCCTGCCCCAGCCTCGCGCTCTCAAAGCCAGCAAGCACACTGCGGCTCACGGAGCAGGATGGCGCAGGGCAGCACCCCGGGCCTCTGAGCGCCTCTGAGCCTCTCTGTCCCGCACACCCACGCCTGCGGCAGCCCGGCAACAGAGGGAGCTGAGCGTGGAGAACAGCGAGCATCCGTTCAGACCTGTGTCCCAGAGCCCACAGATGCCAGGCCCGGGGTACAGCCGCTGTCACAGGAACCCCCACGAGACCTGTCCACTGTCAGCCTGGCCTTTGCACCCCCACCGCTCAGGGCGCCCTGGCGGGCCCTCCCGCAGAAAGCACGCTGGACCTGTCCCCAGGCAGTCTGCGCCTGTGCTCCGCGTGGCCCCCTCGTGGGACATGCTCTCCCACCGTGTTACTCCACGTCGTCCCCCACGTGTGGGAAGAGGCGTGAGGCCCACCACCCCAGTTCTTCGGCAGGCTCCATCCTTGCCTTCCCCGCTGGGGCGGCCCAGTGAGGGCGGTGAGAGGGCTGATCTGGTAACTAACAGCAAAAGGGTTGGATCTCAGTAGAAGGTTCGGGACCCTCCGTATTTACAACTGCGGGCGCCCAAGGCAGCCCTCCTGGCGCTGCGCGGTGCCGCTGCCTCCCTGCCTGAGTGCCGCGCTGGCTGCCGGGAGATGGGCCAGGCGGCAGGGATGGGTCCTCGGTGCTTCAGCAGTCACAGAGACACTTGTCACCTCGCGTTGCCCTCAACGTGGAGGCTGGAAAATGGCCACGCAGGGGACAGCCGTGCTCACCCGGCGGCCATGCCGTGTTTTCCACGGCGTGTGGGCAGGAAGTGGGGTGGTCAGGGTCTCCGCGGAGGTGCGAGGCAAGGCCTTTTCTCAGCTCCCTTCAGAAAGAGGCCTTTGGCAGGAAGTAGAATAAAACGGGACAAGACAGAGCAGGTGGAGAGGTGGCTTTGTGCGGGCTTCGGTGTGGCTGTCAGTGGGGACCACAAACGCGTTTCCACCCCAGCTGCGCCTGACGGGCCAGCACGTGACCGTGCAGAGCCGTCCGCAGCGCCACGTTCGCCCTGGGCCCGCCTCTCCTGCAACAGCCAGGCGCGGTGGGTGGCCAGCTTTGGGTGGGTTCTGGTACCACACGTCTCGCTGGGCAATGGTGTGGTCCTCACCTGGGGGGGTGTTGCCATGTGCCCCTGAGCCCCCACCTGAGCTTGGAAAGCGCTGCCATTCTCCCAAAACGGACGCCGACAGAAGAATACAAAGTAAGAAAGGTGGTCGCACATGAAGTCACGGAAGAGGGGGCCCCCGACAGCCCACGTTTAAAAATCAGGTTTTGTTCTCATCATAGATGTCCAGAGAAGGCTCGATCGTGGAGAATTCGCGCTCATACACCAGGCTCCGAGGGGACAGGGAGTTCCGATGGAAGAAGTGGCCACCTGGAAGAGGAACAGGAGAGGAGACTTAACAGGGTGGCAGGCCCACAGGTCCCGGGTGCCGGTGGAGAGCGGCCTGTCTCCAAGGGTTGCATCGCTCGCTGCTCCCACCGCCTGGGCCCTAGCACTGAGACGAGCGGCTGCAGGCTTCCCCCGAGTTACGCACACCTCCTACCTGTAGGTTCTCAGGTTCGAGCCCCACGTTAATCATGGGAGCCCTTCACAGGAAAGGCGGCCTGGCCCACTAACGATCCCACTGCGCGCCTGAGGACGTCTTCCCGAGACAGTCCCGGGGAGGCCACCCGCCACCGCCGCTCCCGTCCGAGCACCTGTCAGGGTTGAACCCTGGGTGGGAAGGCGGGCAAGGTCCCCGTCACAGCCGGGCAGACGGCTGGGACAGGGACGCTCTGAACACACATTGCAAAGTCGGTTTGTTTTTGATTCGTCGGAGGTGTGTGCACTCACATCACGAATGAGGGGGGAGGGAGAGGGCACCCCGTGGGGCGCGGGCATGCTGGAAGCCCTCCTCCATCCTGTCGGGGTTTTGGGCACACACGCACGTGGACCTGGTGTGAGCTTCAAGCCGCCAGGACTCGAACCGTGCTATCAGCCATGGAGGATGCAGAGCCCTTAGCCACAGACCACAGAGCCAGCACCAAAGCTTTTATGAAAGCTACACTTTCACGCGGTTTAATTAATCCCACGTGGGTTAAGGCCAGCGCTGGCTCGTCTCCCAAGTAGGGAAGCAGGCCAGCTTGAAATGAACAAAGGCCTCAGGACAGTCTGACAAGTGCCGAGTCACAGAGAAGCCAGGAGTGGGTACGTGAAGAGAAGCAGGAACTGGGCGATTCCTAGGGAAGGCCATCGCCCCACAGTGAGAACGGCTCGCACCTGCTTCTGTCTCGGACCTGCAGGCGCCAGCTCACGCCGCGCTCTTTGAGACCGTTAGGTGGAGCTCGCTGCCTGCCCCCCTCCCAGGAGAAGCCTGTGAGGCTGAGTCGGACCTGGACTCCACTGCCATAGGCAGGACTCACAGCGGCTTCCCCGGGAACTCGTGAGCACACCCCAGAGGCCGAAAGCCCTTTGGGAGGCTTCTGGAACTCAAAGCTGTGAGACTCCTCCAGGGGTGCGACAGTCTCTCTGACAACACTGTATGCTAGTTTGTTGCTATGTACCCGCATTTCACTGCCATCTGTAACCCTCTTCTTGGGATATAAGATAAAAGTTCTTTTATTTGGCAAAAGAGCCTCAGAAATGTCACCCCTCCACCTCAGTGGCTAGTGGAAAATCAATAGATCAGTTACCAATAGGTAACTTGCTTTAAGACTACGCATAGGAGATTTGTGCTAAACTATGTTATCTATTTATTTTTTTTTGAAGAGGTTTTTGCTATGGGACACTGTGCTCACCAGAGAGATAGAAAGCGAGAAATCACCCCCCAGCGGGGATGGCCACACCGCAATCCTTCCTCCTCCATTCTCCTCTCGGGATCTTGGGCACGCACACACGCCGGCATGAGTTTAAGCCACTGGGACCGGGGCTCGAACTGCGGTCAGCTACGTGGGAGTCCAGTGATATAGCCATTATGCCAGCTGTGGACCGGCAGGCCCACGTGCACCCAGGACCTAAGAGGAGAGCTGGGGAAAGGAGACTGCAGGGTGACACGGCGCTACCAAGGCTGCTCTCATTCGCATGCACACACGTGTGCTCTCGCGTGAGAGAATGTGCTGGTAACAGGTGAGCTCTGATTTCCACGCCGAGCTGCTGTCAGAGCAGCCCACCCCGTGAGGAGGCTGCAGCTAGGTGGGGTCGGGGCTGGGTCAGCACTCGCCCGGCTGCCCATGGACTGACCAATACCAAGCTCGGGGAAAAGCGCTATGGCACTGAGCCTGCTGGGTTGCGGGTGGACACTCCAGAGGGACACTGCCGGCAGCATGCTCCCAGAACCTGGGCGTGGCCAGCCTCGCCCTGTCACCAGCCTGGGGTGCTGTCCTGAGGATGTCCAGCGTCCCCACGACCCTGCCTTCTGTGCCCTCGTCAGCAGGCTGCCCGCCCATGAGACGTCGGCGGACATGGGCAGAGCGCCGGCCGACATGCGGCTGGGAAGTCTGTGAGCGAAGGGAGGGTCCCGTGAGCCCTTCCTTCAGACAGTCCCCGGGCGTGGCCCGGGCTGCTCCTTAGTCGCGTGTGCGTGTGTTAGAGAGCGTGGCAGTGTGTGCGAGTGCATTTGGGTGAGTTGATGAGTGTGAGTGAGTCCTGGTGTGTGTGTGTGGGGATGCGGACGGAGCACCGAGGCAGCATGGGGCCCGCCAGCATTGCCCTGCACCATCCGCCTTCGGGGTGGCCTGGGCAGCACGGGGCCCTCGTTAGGCAGGACCTGCGGTCCGAGGAGCTCCTGCCCGACGCCCGGAGGTACCGAGGAGAGGAGCGGGATGGGGTCACTTAGACGCGCCGGTTTCCTCTTGGTTTCTTTGTCACTTCCCGGGGACTGGCCAGGCTGCTGCCAGCAGAGTCTGGGGTGGCCTTTCCATCTGAGCCTCAGGTCAGCGTGGGCTCAGGGCCACCAGCTGCTGCTCCCGCCCTGCTTCGTGGACTCCTCGGTGTCCTCGGTGAAGACGAACCCTCCAGTCTCAGGTCGCCCTCTGAGGGGTGGGCGCGGGCACCGAGGCCCTCGTGCGCGGGCACGGAAACCCTCGGACGCACGCAGTGAGGCCCTTGTGAGCAGGCACGGAAACCCTCGAGCATGCGCAGTGAGGCCCGCAGCGCACGGCCCCGCGCTGCTGTGCACCGAGTCTGGTCTCCCCACCTAAGGTGCCCGAAGCTCTCCTGGGCCCTGGCCGTCTTCCCCCCACCTCTTGCCTGCTGGCTCGCAGAGGCCGATTCTAAGCTGGAATGTTCTAAGTGACCCGGTCACTGTAGTTCTAGGGGCCAATCTGTACCCAGTGAACTCCTTTCAAACTGCATGAACCTCCCCCTGCTCTCCGAGAAAGTCCCCATAGCGGCATCTCCACCCAGCCCAGGACACCTCTGTCACTCTGCTCCCGTCCCAAACCACGCCCAGCATGCACCCAGCCTTTCCCAGCAGCTGGCTTTGCGTACGCAGTACCCTGCGCTGACCAGGTCCCCCAGGAGGAGGGCAGCACCAAGTGGGCCAGTGCATCCTGGGGCCTGCCGAGCAGTGGCCAAAGGCCACGGTCTGCCTCCCACGCCAGGCTGGGAGGAGGCTGGGAGATTGTGGGGGACCTTGTGGGGTACTCTCTCGCTCCCCAGCATGGTGAAGACTTAAAAAGAAACGCGAGATAAAGCCCAGAGCGACCGTCCATGTGGGAACTTGGCCTCAGCTGCTCCAGCAGAGTGGCGTGGCGCGCTTCCGGGCTGCCGCCTGTCCCTGCCTGCTGGGGTTACTGGGAGGCCGGATGCAGGGTAAGACTGTTCACGTGTGCAGATGCATGGGGTGCACACACATAGGAAGCACTGTATGAGTTACTGTGGACCATTCCTTGACCAAATGTGATCAATGCGCACAGACACGCACAAACCTAGTATGCTCTCTGTGCGTGTCCCCCCAAGCACACGCACACGCACACGCACACGTGGTAAGCGGTGGGTCTGCGCAGCTCGGCCCTCAGACAGTTCCCTCCATCCATTTCCCGTTTCCTTTGTGACTCTGAAGTGTGTAGGGCGAGGATGCAGCTTCGCCAGTGCTGGTCCGCTGGTCTCTGTTGGTGTTCTGAGCACTTAGTAAGCCCTTGGGGCTGCCTGGGTCCCAATTCCGACTTTGCGAGGTGAGAGGGAAGTGAGTTACGGAACCCTTCTAATCACCAGCTTCTTCACTTGCGAGGTAAGAAAACAAGGCTTGGTCTGTGATGGGAGGTGTAGGGACGAGATCACACTGCTGGGGGCCCCCGGACGGGCCGGCACGTGCTCGCGGCCTGGTAGCAGCAGTCCCCGCTGCCCGACCAGCTTCCCCCGAGACCCAGATGGAATCCGCACCACGTGGGCTCTGCTCCCTGGTGAACTGCTGAGAATCAGGAACTCAGTATGACCAAATAATCTCAAGATTAAAAAAATCAAGGAACGTCAGGATCTTTTCTCAACGGTTCAGAAAGTCTGAAGTTACAAGCCAGCTGGCCAAAGAGAAGTGCGCTCAGATCCACACGGCTCTGGTCACCTCCGGGCCTGGGCAGGACCGGCAGCTGCTTTCCCTGGGGCCCCCTTCATCAAGTCCCCAGCTATGTAGGTTCCAAGGCGCCCAGTACGACACTCCGGAAAAGTACTTTTCTGCTTTAAGGGGAAGAAGCCGTGTGACAGTGTACTACAGCAGAGTACAAAACACGGGCAGCTTAATACAACTTCCAAACAGCCAGACTTGTTATCAAACACGGCAACATGCCGCAGGTACCACTTCACAGTGGACGTGCACGCTGCCGGCGGATCACACGAGTGCACGCTTCAGAGGAGCAGCGTGTCCCACAGATACACACCCAACACACGTCCCCCAGAAATCATAACTTATAAATTAAATACAGCCAGAGGGGCTAAAAAATCAAAACAAAAATGACTGGGAACCAGCAGTTAGCGTAATGGCTATGTCGCTGGACTCCCACGTAGTCGACCGTGGTTCGTGCCCCGGACCCAGTGGCTTAAAACTCACGCCAGGCGCGTGTGCGTGCGTGCCCAAGATCCCGAGAGGAGAATGGAGGAGAAGGGATTGTGGCGTGACCATCCCCCCTGGGGGTGATTTCTCGCTTTCTGTCTCTCTGTCTCTCTCTGTCTGTCTGGCGAGTGCACGTGCCCTATAGCGAAAACCTCTCCAAAAAAACACAAACAAACAGAAAAAAAACAAAAATGACTGACGTTCATGTGTCACCAAAGTTTATCCAAGGATAGTTGAGACACTGAAATACCACAATGTTCCAGACTTAATTTTAGGCACTTTCTAATTTTTAAAATGACAAGTAAGAAATTATTCAACTTCATATATTGCTTCTATTCATATCATG